GTATTATTATACTTTGCCAGGTTTTACGTGGGATGCAATGTTGAAACATACCGGCATAAATTTTGAGTTGCTCACTGACATTTATATGCTCATGTTCATCGAACGCGGTATACGTGGTGGCTTGAGTCAATGTTCCGGTAGATACGCGCAAGCCAATAACAAGTACATGCAGTCTTACGATCCATCGAAATTGTCGTCGTATCTGATGTACTTTGACGTAAACAACTTGTACGGGTGGGCAATGTGTCAACCGCTGCCTTACGCTGAATTTCAATGGGTTACAGACTTTTCAAAATTTGATGTATCTTCAATCGCTATCGATTCACCCATAGGTTATATTCTCGAGGTCGACTTGGAGTATCCGGAAGATTTACATGACCCACACGCTGACCTACCGTTTTGCCCAACGCGTGATAAACCACCCGGCAAAAGACAGGAAAAACTTCTCGCGACGCTATACAATAAACAACGTTATGTTATTCATTATCGCAACCTGCAGCAGTGCACGCGTCATGGTCTTCGTATCGTAAAGATATACCGCGTGCTTCAATTTGCTCAATCTCCATGGCTCCGCGATTATATCGAATTAAACACACAATTTAGAACGCGTGCAACCAATGATTTTGAAAAAAATTTGTACAAATTGATGAACAATGCAGTATTCGGCAAAACGATGGAAAATGTTCGCAATCATGTAGATGTAAAACTGTTGACAAAATGGGATGGAAGGTACGGTGCTGAGACAATGATCGCAAAACCAAATTTTCATAGTAGAAGCGTTTTCGCCGAAAATTTAGTTGCCGTTGAATTGCGCAAACTTGAGGTGAAATTTAACAAGCCGATCTATGTGGGTATGTGCATACTCGATATATCAAAGGTTTGTTTGTATGAATTTCATCACGAGTACATGTATCCTCTGTATCGCGACAAATGTAAAATAATGTACACTGACACTGACAGTCTTATTTACAACATCAAATGCGATGATGTATACGAGCACATGAAACGTGATATTGCAAGGTTTGATACGAGTGATTATCCCGCTGACAACGTGTACGGTATACCGCTTGTAAATAAGAAAGTTCCGGGTTTGATGAAAGACGAAAACAATGGAGCGATAATGATGGAATTCGTCGGTCTCAGAGCGAAGATGTACGCGTTGAGAGTGAACGGTAAAAGGGATACAAAAAAGGCCAAAGGCGTTAAGAGTAATGTCGTAACGCGAACGATAACTTTTAATGATTATACACAATGTTTGAAAGAGGAGATTGAAACGACTCGCCAACAATCATGCATTAGATCAAAATTGCACGAAGTGTACACAGTGTCCGAAACGAAAATCGCTCTGAGTCCGTACGATGACAAGCGATATATCGTACCAGAATCAATCGATACGTTACCATGGGGACATTATCGTATACCGCTATAAAAAAAAATGTATATATTAAAATGTATATATTACAAGTGTACCCCGATTAAGGTAAAATATATATTAGGTTAGGATATATGTCGAATGCGATAATAAAATATATTTTTATATAAAAATAGAACTTAGTTCGATAGCAGCCTGCGATTGGTATTGTCAATAAAGGTTCAAATTACAAAAATTGTTTATTGATTATTTTAATACAATAAAATACATTTTACAATATATTATCCTTGTTTATCCATGAGTTGTATGAATTGCTAAATCCCAACCATTTCACGTAAACCTTGTCACCTTCTCTGCGTAATACTTTTTCCACCAGGTATACATCAGGGTTATTAACACGATGCAGTTCATGTTCGTAGAATCCTCCAGCGACAGGCTGTTCGCGAAAATCCTCGAGCAGATAAGTAACAGGATTAGTTGTCTGTACTTTGGCAATAGTAAATACTTCGGTTGTCCAGTTCGGTGTGTAACCCTTCTCGAAGACAGTCTTGAATTTGCTAACACGTACATAATCGCCCACTTTGAATTTAGCAGGCGCTGCAATTTTTACGTTGCTGTACACTGTATTCAGGAGCTTATCGGCGATCGCGGGGGTAACATCTATAGGACGCATTCCGATGGTTCGATGTTTACACCCATTGTACTGCGATACGAGATTCGGCAGCGCATCGATCCATTTATAGGTTCCGTTGAATGTAAACATTTTCCACATATTATTTTTTAACGTACGATTGAATCGTTCCACGACGGAGGCCTTCATTACTGAGTACGTCGAATAATGATTGATGTTGTGTTTCTTTATTAGTTTCTGAACATCTGCGTTGTAAAATTCCTTGCCTTGATCGGTTTGCAAATTTTTCGGACATCTGTCTCGAATTATCTTGGTGAACACTTCAGCTACCTCTTTTCCGCTCTTACTCTTCAGCGGCACAGCCCATGCGTATTTGCTCAGCACATCAATAACCGTAAGTATATAGTGATGACCTTTGTTAATTCGCGCATAAGGACGCATCTCTACCACATCGGCTTGCCACAGATCATCGTATCCGCGTACAATGACGCGCCTACGAGGAAAATTTTTTCTCGCCGAAGCATGCAGTTCGTCCACGAGTCGCTGCTTTTTGTTTTTCCGTTTGTTAATCTTTGATGATTCCTTCACCATTATGGAATGACTTTTCTCGTGCTTATGTCTATGTGTATACTGATTTAACTGTAATATTCCATTATTTATTTATCTTTTTTCATAGATTTACTTTCTTCTACTTTCGTATCAGTATTTTTTCTCTTAGATTTATTTTTTTCTTGTATCATATCAACTAACAGATTGATGTTTTGATGAAGATCATTCATACTCTGTATGCTTTTCGCCCTGATTACTTCCTGTTCAGTTTTCAACGTTTTACTATTCTCCTCCAATCGATCTTTCAACGTTTTAATATTCTCTTCTAGTCGATCTTTCAACGTTTTAATATTTTCTTCCAGTTGATCTTTCAACGTTTTAATATTTTCCTTCACATGCTTTGCGATCTGCTCTCTCCACACTTTAAAATTCTCATCCACATAATTTTTGTGTGCAGCGTCATTGAAAGCTTCCGGCCACGTTACATGTCGTATTTTGACCCCTTTTGTATCAAAGAATTTACGGTCGGCAGATATAAAAAGAGTATTATCTTGTACATATCGTTTGCTCACAAAGTCGCGCAAACTATCAGTCGCATATTTTGCAAAACGCTCTTCCACATATTGTTTGGTTGCAACGTCACTATCGGCTTCCGGTTGCGCTACATGTTGTATCTTGCGAGACTTTGCGTCAAAATCTTTAGCCGCGTTTAGACAAAGGGCATTTTCATGTACATAACTTTCAACGTATTCATCCCATCGTTCTACAGGAACAGTTCTGGAACTGTTATTCTTTCGCGATGTTCCAAACTTATCCATCGACATTTCGACACGAGCAGTATCGACTGACTGACTCGTGTCAACGCTGCGCTGCTTAATTTATAATGAGGCCAGCTTCACGGAGTTCTTCGATAATTGATAAAATTTCATTGCCGTGAACATTGTTGCCAGCTTTACGCGAAGCTTCCAGTAATCGTAAACGATCCACCAGCTCGTTGGGATCATTCCAATACGTATAATCGATTTTGTTTTCGTTTAACGTCATCACATCTCGCGATACGGAGAAGCCTTTCCCTACCGCCTTATTGCTCGACATGTGTGATACCAGAGGGCTTATTATATTCTTATACTTGTACCCTTTGTTACCGAGTATAGGATTTAGAGGGTTGTAGCCGCGTCTGTGAGCATTCGTCGCCAGCAGTATACTTGTATACTTGTGTTTGTCGGCCTCGGTGTACACGGTATCGTCGGGTATTCTCTTGAATATCAGCTCGTAAAGACCCGGTGTTCCCATATATCTTGTTCCATCAATGATTATATTATCGTCTCTGTCCACGTCGATGCGTTTATCACCTAGCGTCGGTTCATCATTATCGAAACGTATCCCGTAAACGTGATCTATAGTTGTATCTTTTCCACCGCTTAACATCGCTCCAAAGTATTGTTGTCCCAGGGGACCAAGGTGATCGCGCAACGTTTGTTGTCCCGCGCTCGTTTGTAACTGATGTCTAATGGATGTCGCGAGCGGCTCATCCGGAGTTTCGAAAACAGTATTCTCATCATCATCATCAATGGGTAGAGTGTCGTTCGATTCATGCGGTTGCTCGTATAGAGGTGCTTTCTTCGATGTAAGATATATCGGAGAATCGTCTAATCGTATCCGTTTTTTTGGTGAAGGCAATGCGAACGTATCTGAATAATCCCACGACATGTCCAATAATTTCCCACTTTTGTCATGTGCGTCTTTTCTTTTCGGTTTTGATATCGCACTCTTTGCTTCGACGTTCGTACTCACCGATGGTGTCTCAGTTTTAACACCGACGTTACCCTCTACATTAGCGGTACTTTCCGCGATTTGCTTCAGAGGTTCGACCAGGGGTTTAAAATGTCTCTCCAATGCCACATCTTCCTCCATCCTACCGGTTTTCAAAGCGTGATACTTCTTGCGT